CCAACCGTAGTTTAATGGCGACTATTCAATCGGGACCAGCCGACTGTTCCAAGACAAAATCAATACTGACTGACTTCTGATTGGTCCTCGATGTCATTCGAAAGTGTTGATTTCTTTCCATTGAGGTAATCACAGATGGACGTCTTATCTTTGGTTCCGTATTTTTCCGGTAGACTGCGTCTTTGTGTTTGTACGTTATGTCCTCGAGTAAATGTGAGGCAATATTTTCGATATATTTTGCTGACATTTGACATAGGACACCAATATGTTACCACGAGTTTGACGTGCGCCCCGAATTCCGCGCCCACCAACCGTTGCAATTAATGTACCAGCAATTTATATTCAGTTTCTTTGTGAGGCGATTTATATTAATAAATGACGTACTATCATTCACGTATGTTTATTCCGATTCTTTCGTTTCATGATACTTATTTATAGTGAGTTAGATAGGGTCATCGTTACGCATGAATCTGCTACGTATTTGCGTCAATATCTACACTGCATCAATTTTTCAAGAAACAATTTCTGTGGAACGATTATGTAATATTAGACGTATTATGATGCATTACACGCATATAAGCACTATTTGTGTTATATGGGGATTGTTTCAGCGCGTAATATCGTTATTGGTAAGTGGTCGTGGCCGACTTTGCGCATCCTCCACCTCACGACTTTGATGCCTTCGTGGGAATTTATAAAAAGCGATAAGGCATAGTGGAGTATGAATATCATTAACTTACCTGTGGCATGACGTCCATACAAAATTTCAATAATTTCTGAGCGTCCATTCGCTTTTTCCAAAATTCGTGCGCAGGAAGCCATTTTGCACTGACCGAGATTAACCCGTTTTGGTTGGTTTGGGTTAGGTTTGGTTAGGTTAGTGGGACAACTGCGCAGACGTTGTTGCGCAGTGCAGTCATATGACGTCCGCATGTGAGGGCACCTTGAGCTCGTTATTGTCAATTGTAAATTATTAAACACTCAAAAATTCGATTCCGTCACTTTAAGAAGAATATTATATTCTGGGCTTCACTTTCATAACTAATTTAAACTTTTTACAAGGATATTATATTGGACACATATTTTCAGTAATTCCAAGTACACCAATCACTTATCACTTAAATATGATGTTATTCAATATTTCATTGAGGAAATATATATGTTGTCACACAAAGAAGTATGTATTAAGAATTCATTTAATTTTATATTACAATACATGTAATTACTACAGTGACACCATTCATCGTTATAAAGAATAAATGTTCTCAAATAACATAGGTCCAGCTTCTGCAGATAAGGGATATCTGTATATGATTTACGTGTTACTAACTGGTACAAACGTCTTTACTGAGCACACATGGCATGGAAATGTCCTTTCACTGAAGTCGTATGTCACTATGTGACGAACCGCACTTATTCTTGCTTGTTTTGTTGGATTGGTGTTTCACTTGTTTCTATTCTCACACGTCACCGAGAAAACTATCTTACACTGAGCTTCACTTCAGGTAGCACCTGTTAATATCTGATTGAATGATGGGTATTAATCGTGTTAATGTTCCCGAAGAACTCTATTTCTAGAGCACAAAGTTACGTTGATACTGACCGAACGAAATCAAATATTTCCAACCGTAGTTTAATGGCGATTCTTCAATCGGGACCAGCCGACTGTTCCAAGACAGAATCAATACTGACTGACTTCTGATTCGTCCTCGATGTCATTCGAAAGTATTGATTTCAGTCAATTTAGTTCATCACAGATGGCACGTCTTATGTTTGGTTCCGTATTTTTCCGGTAGACTGCGTCTTTGTGTTTGTACGTCGTTTAATCGAGTAAATGTGAGGCAATATTTTCGATATATTTTGTTGAC